GAGCACGACTCCCTCCAGCGCGTCCTGCGGCTTGCTCTTCAAGCGCTTCGCCATCTGAAACGATACATATGTGCATGAGTGCCACCGCACTTCCTGTCTGCGCAGGAAGTGATCATCAAACCTTGATCGTCGTACCTTGATGGGGTGTTTGAGGGCTTCCACCACAGTGAATCGTGAGGTTTCTCGCACTAGCGAAGGTTTTCCTAGCCGCGCCTCGATGTATCGTCCGGCCACAGCGGTTGCGTTACGCGCGGAATAAACACCCACCGCCAGCAGAGAAAGTCCCGCCACCTGCAGGACACTCAGAGCATCACACACACACATATATATACACACACACACACACATCACACTCTCACACACACACGTCACTCTCACACACACACACACACACACACACACGCTCACTCACTCACACTCTCACACACTCTCACACACACACTCTCTCTCTCACACACACACACACACACTCTCACACACACACCGCATGCTAATGCTTACCGTCGCCGTCACTTTATCCCAGTCCGATATAAACGCACGGAAACCTTCACCGAACACGGCGCCCGCCGTCCTGAAACACACAGCGAAACGGTCACATGACTACATGAAGACAGTCACATGACCACATCCAAACCTGACTATAAGTGCGTTTATGATTCACAAATGTGAACTTTTGATTTTGTGTTGTACTTAATCATAATATATTAATTTATATTATAATAATTTTATTGAAATGCAAGAACAACTGAAAATATATTTTAAATTTATTTTATTTTTTCTAATTTTTTTTTACTAAAAGTGTTTTCATGACTCCATACAAAATAAATTAAATAGCGTTGTATTTATGTATTTAAATTTATTTAAAAATGCAAACAAAATATTTATAAATAACCCAGAAATAAATATACTGCTCACAAAGTATTACCATATGCCTTTTGTAAAGAAATGGTAACACTTTGTGAACAGTATATTTATTTCTGGGATATTTATAAATACTTTGTTCGCAATTTTACCTAGAAATAAAATATACAAATAAATAAATACAACACTATTTAATTTCTTTTGCATGGATTCATGAAATTTTTTAAATGAAAGACAATTATAGATATATTTTTTAGCAATTTTACCTAAAAATAGCTAAATTATAAAAGTACATAAAAAAAATATTTAACTATTTCATTTTATTTGAAATAATATGATTGTTGTAAATGTATAAAAATAAATATCTATGAAACATATGAATATTTCTGCTGAAGTGAGTGATGTTACCGTATGGACTCGAGGACGGTCTGTCGGTGCTCGGCCGCCTTCAGTCGGATCTGCTCGCGGATGATGTCAGCATTTTCTCTCTCCACGCGTGCGCGAGCTTTAGACTCCGCCTCCACACGCAGCATCTCGTTCTTGTGCCGCAGCTCCATCTCATGCTCGACGGTCGCTGTGGAAATACACACACAATCACGTTCAGACGACGGAGAACACGAGTGCCAGCTCTTCAGAATGACCTCAGTTGGCCTCACCTCTCCTCATGGCTTCCTGCTTCTGCACAGACTCTTCCTGTTTGCGCAGGTTCTCCTCGTTCAACAGTTGCTGTGGAGGAAGGGAGGAGGCGTTAGACAGATGCGAGTCTGGGAGAGACTGAGAGGAGTCTGAGAGAGGTCTAAGAGGTGTCTGAGGGGAGTCTGAGAGGAGTTTGAAAGTCTGAGAATCTAAGAAAGTCTGAGAGGAGTCTGAGGAGAATCTTAGAGGAGTCTGATACTCTAAGAAAGTCTGAGGAGAGTCTGAGAGTCAGAGAGGAGTCTGAGAGGAGTTGGAGATTCTGTGAGGAGTCTGAGAATCTAAGAAAGTCTGAGAGGATTCTGAGGAGTTTGAAAGTCTGAGAGGAGTCTGAGAATCTAAGAGAGTCTGAGAGGAGTCTAAGAATCTAAGAAAGTCTGAGAGGAGTCTGAGGAGAGTCTGAGAGGAGTTGGAGAGTCTGAGAGGAGTCTGAGAATCTAAGATAGTCTGAGAGGAATTTAAAAGTCTGAGAGGAGTCTGAGTACAGTCTAAAAGGAGTTTGAAAGTCTGAGAATCTAAGAAAGTCTGAGAGGAGTCTGAGGAGAATCTGAGAGGAGTTTGATAATCTAAGAAAGTCTGAGAGGAGTCTGAGGAGAGTCTGAGAGGAGTTGGAGTTTCTGTGATGAGTCTGAGAATCTAAGAAAGTCTGAGAGGATTCTGAGAGGAGTTTGAAAGTCTGAGAGGAGTCTGAGAGGAGTTTAAAAGTCTGAGAGGAGTCTGAGGAGAGTCTGAGAGGAGTCTGAGAATCTAAGAAAGTCTGAGAGGA